AATTTTGAAGATTTTTCAAAATTTTGAACAGTGAGATTTAGAAAACATTTGTGTGCTTGAAACATTGAAAGAAATTTGAAAATACAGTTGAAATTGCATTTTTACAAAATTCTTAAACTTGGCAAAATGGAAGAAAAGAATATCCAGGAATTCAATGTTTTCAGTTTAGCTCATTGTAATGTTTAGGATTTTAATGCAATTTCAAAGTTTTTGGCAGGGTTACATGCACACAGATGTTTTACAATTTTACATATTTTTATGTATGAAAAATGTTGAAAATTGAATGAGTAAAAATTTGAAATGTAAAATTGTTTTTTCCTGATTTTCATACGATTTTCAAAAAAGTTTTTGCATTTTTGATTCTATCTCATGCAATTTTCAAGTTTTCCAAAAATGTGAACAATGAAAATTTAGGGAACATCTGTGCGCATGTAAAACTTTAAAAAATTTGGAAATTGCTGGAAAATTAAAATTGTGAAATTTTTTTAAAGTTGGAAAAACGGGAAACGGAATTTTCAAAAAAGTCCGTTTTTTTGAGTTTAGCTCATGATAACTTTTTTTTCACTAATGGAAGATAAATCATAATTTAGGGGTGAATGCGCATGGATGTTTTGTGATTTTACACATTTTTCTAATGGGGCAAAATCAAAAATTCAAAAAGCTAAAATTACAAATGTAAAAGTGTTTTTTTCCTGATTCACACCCGTTTTTCAAAAAAGTTTTGCATTTTTCACTTTAACTTGATGAATTTTTAAGCTTTTTCAAAATTAAATAAAAAGAGAAATGTAGCAAACATCATGGCGCTGCTCATGCTGGTTTCAAAATGAAGTTTGCTCAAAAATTGAATTTTTGCCAAATTTTTGAATTTAAAAAGTCGGGAAACGGGATCCTCCTGCAGGCCTCTGGGTGGCTCTGTGGGAGGGAGGTAGGGCGCAGGAAGGAAGGGACTGAAAACAGCGTTACTGTCGGAGGAACGCAAGTAACTTTATTAGGTAAGATAAAAAATTAAAAAAAGGCCTGGCATGCAGACTTTAAACATATGGACATTGTGTGATAAAATTGCAAATAAAAGATATTTAAAACCTTAAAATTATGTAAGAAAAGTTCTTTGGCATTTCTCTCAACAATGTACCACCCATTTGGCTGATCTTAAAAAATGACCTCCAACATAGAGGGACTTCCTTCTCTCTGTTTCACTTGACTGTTATTTTTGCAGAGAATGCCATCATTTCAATTCACTGTACAGAGGTATCAGTATTACAGGTGAACCTTGATAACTTGAACCTCCCTAAGTCAAATACCCTCCTAAGTCAAATTTTTTTTCAGGTCCCATTTGAATCCCCTTAGAACCAATAGAGTAAAAGCCTCCCTAAGTCAAAAGCTTTTCCCCTCAAACCTCCATAAGTAAAATTTTCTGTGCCCTGTTGACCATTATTTTCTTGAAAAAATAAAGAAAAAAACCAAAAACCCATAAATTTATGTGTTTCAAAGGAATTGAAAGACTTAATTGGGCAAATGAACCCCTGCCTTCAAGTTCAGCAGCCTTTTAACTCATTTAAGAGGTCAATTAAGCCCCAGAATATTACCATTTACATTTTTCAAGTTTCCCAAAAAATGGGGCCTTTTATTTTACTTCCAACGTATAACAGTCATAACCTCCCTAAGTCGAAACCTCTCTAAGTCGAATTTCTTCTCAGTTCCCTTGAAATTCGACTTGGAGAGGTTTGACTGTAAATGCTCCAAATGTCCATATTGTGTTGAAAGATATTTGAATCAGTTTCAATAGGGAGAAAAAATATTTTTTTGCATTGAATTATGATGAGTATCTTGTTCATAAAACACCAATTGAAAATTATATAATCTAAGTCTAAGGGAAAATGAGACTCGACATTTCAACTTAGGGACCACTCTTGATGCACCAAATCGTGTCCGCATCTTGGGGTCTCACTGTATGTACTGTATACTGTATACTTATATTTTGTAACAGGGCAAGGACAGCACTCAGGACGAGAAGGCAGCGTCTGCAATTCTGGCTGTGCGACTGGACGACGAGCTCAACGGACGCGCCGTTCAAGTGCGCGTGGTGCAAGGCGAGGAACCCGCTCACTTTTTGCACGTTTTCAAGGGCAAAATGGTGACTTTCATGGGCGGCAAAGCCAGTGGATTCAAGAATTTGCAAGACCATGACACGTACGACGTGGACGGCACTAGGCTGTTCCGCATTCGCGGCACTTCCGAATTTGATGTCCGTGCGGAACAAGTGCCGGAAGTGACTGCGTCCCTGGCTTCCGATGACGTCTTCCTCCTCGAGACTCCAACGGCCACTTACATCTGGGCTGGAAAGGTGTTTTTCACGTTAATTTTTTTTTTAAATAGTTTTAAATTCCTGAATATTATGTGGGTCTATTTTTGTTTTGGTTTATGCCTGTGTATATACTGTACCTTCTGACGAAATTTTTTGAACATCAGGGAAGAAATAAATTCACCTGAATCGGATTTCTTTCGACTATTAAAATAATTTAGAAAGAAATGATATTCGTATCGTACAGACAGTCTGGAAATTTGAAAGGAAAATAAGTTTTAAATTTGTTATTGCTTATTGGATGCCTGACTTTCGCCTCTTGATAAAACTGGATGATGAGGAAATTCTATAAGCATTGGATTTAATTTAAATAAATGCCGATTTTACCACGCCAGAAAGCCGAATAAATCGAATTCCCGTGTGATAAAATGGAACTACTGTACATTTCTTCGAAATCGATAAATCGAAGTTCAAGTGATTCGTCATCGGTTTCTTATATTGTTCACTATTTTACGCATGTAGCAAACTTTATGCTTTGAAAGAAAGGAAAGTAATCAAATAAAATTGTTCGTTTCCCCATTTTTTTGCGAAGAATCTAAAATTTGGCTGGATTTCTCTTGTAGACTTTCGAGAATTTCTACATCATTGGTTTCATCAGAGGCTCTTTTTTCTCGAAAATGTCGGATTTTTTGGGAGCCTGTGTACATACGAGGGTTCTAAAAAAAGTTCTCGGAGTAGCAATGAAAATGGCTCACAGTTGAGCTGAACCAAATTTTTTCTTTAAAATAAAAAAAAGTTGTCAAACACGGCTGATATTTTTTTGTGTGCCAAAGAATATGTTTTCCCTGAAGAAAAAATTTGTTTCAGGTCAACTGTAGGCCATTTTCATTGCTACTCCGAGAATTTTTGTTAGAACCCTCGTATATGAATAGGAAATAGTAGAGAGATTACGTTAGATTGAATTTGCATTACTTTTTACAGTATTTTATTTTTGTGTGAACTTTTTGTAATTTCTCCTGCTTAATTCCAGGGTTCGTCCGATGAAGAAAAGGCGATGGCCACAAACATTCGCTCGGTGGTTTCCCCGAACGCGGAGCCGCAAATGGTTGCCGAGGGCGAAGAACCCGAAGGGTTCTTCGATGCCCTGGGGGGCAAAGGAGACTACAATGCCGACGTCGGGTTGCCCAGCAACCCACTTCTGGAACCACGTCTGTTCCACTGCCTACTCACTGCAGCAGGTATAATTATTTGGTATACAGTACACATTTTTANTAAGTCAAAATGTCCCCAAGCTGAGTCTTGTTTTCCCATAGACTTACATTATATAATTTTTAATTGGTGTTTTATGGAAGAAATAATTTTCAGAATTCCCTGAAAAAAATTGTTTGCCACTTGAATTTGACTTAGTGAATACATTTTAAACTCAATAAGAACATTTGGAGCATTGAATAGTGTATCTCTGTACTGTACATTGAAATTTTGGTACTGTATCTGCAAAAATATCATTGAAGGGAAAAAAGTAGAAGTCCCTCCATGCTGGAGGTAATTTTTTTAAAATTAGTCTAAGGGATGGTAAATTGGTGAGAGAAATGCCCAAGAACTTTTCTTACAATTTTAGGGTTGGAAATATCTGTTTCTTGTAATTTGGCCTGAAATGTATTTGCAATTTTATCACAAAATGTCCCTATGTTGAGTCAGTGTCCTCATGTCAGGCCTTATTTATTGATTTTTTCTGGGAAAATAAGTGTCCCTATGTTGAATTGTCTGCAGGTTGAGGTGTCCGCATGTGGGGGTCTCACAGTACTTCATACACTGTTTGTGGAGATTTTTACTGTGCACAGGTGGTAACCTCGCAATTCGACCGTCCCGCAATTCAACAGTCTCGAATTTTTGAGAGGTTGACTCAAAATTCGATGACCTTGGCTTCGCAATTCATCGACCTCCTTCAGCCACGTTTCTTGCTGTTGTTTCTTATTTTGACGCAGTGTCTGAATCGAAATTCAACCCATTTGCAATTCTATATAGTCCGAAAACGGATTAATAGGGTCGAATGGCGCGGGATATTACCACCTGTGTCAGAGGGTCGATGATGATGTTGGTTTCGCTGATGGATTCTATAAAAGCGTTGCTGAAAAAATTTCAAAGCCTTCGCGAACTCAATTTTCAATCAATGCCTTTTTTTCTTTGCTTTTTGCAGGAGTACATCAAGACTGACCCGACTGAAAGATCTTTGGACAACACGGTTATATTCGCTGTCAAACAAGGCATGGAGCCTGTGGCGTTCAAGTCCGTTTTCCCCAAGTGGGATGACGCTTTGTGGGACGTGAGTAATAAGGAATGATGAANGGAAACAGATGTGGAATATTAATTATTGGCTTTTGCAAATGAGCACTTCAACTTGTAGCAATCGCCAATTGTTTACTTACTGTATGCATGGATTAAAAAAAAATTATCAAATGTAGGAATTGAAATTAATTGAACAGCTAGTTTGAATTTCTGCTTTTCAGCATTCACAAGGTTCAAGCAATGTTCCCATACATCCAAACCCCTTCACTTTCCCACCCACATTCATCCAAACACATTCTTCACATCAGAATGGAAAACAGAGAAACAAGCTGTACAGTACATGGATATTAAAAGAAGAGAAAATATGTCCCAAAAAGGGCAACTGCAATACTGATAAAAAAAATACATCTAAATACATTTTCTTCCCTTCCCTGATCACAAAATTAAAATATCAATAATAAGAATTGCAACATGAAGAAATTACTAAACCCAAATTGAAGCACATGGTGTTCTACCTGCTCCCAGACAAGGTTTAGTTGATAAAACAATTTGGAGAGAATCTGTGATGAGAAATCATACAAGATGAGCAGTGTGTTGGAAATAGAATATTTTGCACATATTATTAGGTTAGGTTTATAGGGATGTTAATTTTGCTTGGCAGCTGTGCTGATTCTCTCCAAAACCTGAATGAAGTTTTTTGTCTCCTATGCATGAAAATATGCGTAACCCTTGAAATATTTTATAATATTATATCCCATATTATGTGTCAAATTGTTTCAGTAAAGTCTCTTTACAACAAGTCCATTGGAGCCAATAGTAAAATAGCTTTGTTGCAATGAAAATTGTTAATAAAGGAACTCTTCATATTTTAACATTGTGGCTATTGGGAAATTTTCCCTAAAGAGGTTCAACTATAAAATAAAATAAAATAAAAGAATTCTTTGTTAGCAATAATAACTCTTCATATTGAGATTTAGCGTCTTTTGACTGCAGACTATATGAAGTAATTCAACATCAGCCATTATTTTCACATTAAATTGTAGAACAGAACAGAACACTTTGTTTGCCGCTTTTCAGCGTTCACAAGGTTCATATCAGGATTTCCAATTGTATAATTCATGCTGGATATGATAACGAAAAGAGAAGCGCTAGTCTATTTTGAATTTTCCGAAATGAAGTACGGCACAGTACAGTGTATCTTTTTATTGTGTTCCTTACAGGAAAACTTCGCGTTGAGGAAGTGGCAAACTTCGACCAAGATGACTTGATCGTCGATGACACCATGGTCCTGGATACTGGGGCCGAGGTTTATGTCTGGATCGGCAACGGGGCTCTTCCTGATGAAAAAGCCAAAGCCTTTTCAATGGCTGAGGTACGAGTTCATCAGATTTATCCTCAGATATTCTCCTGGGATTTTCTCATCCAGATAGAAATTATGAGATACTTTCTCTGTGGAATGCCTGCAGCTTTTTTTGTTGTTGCCGAAAACAAAGTTATTGCGGAAACAAAATAATGTATGAACATTCGAATTGACTTGGAATTTTGTTTTACGAGGTTTAAAAGATATTTTTTTGTGATATTATTTCTTGGGAATATTCGAGGATAATTTTTTTATGATTTTTGAAGCGGTTTATGTGACTTTTTACCACATTATCAACGTCAGTCAAAAGTATTCATACTTCATATACTGTTTGTGGAGATTTTTACTGTGCACAGGTGGTAACCTCGCAATTCGACCGTCCCGCGATTCAATGTTCGAATTTTCAGCAAGGTTGACTCAAAATTCGATGACCTTGGCTTCGCAATTCATTGACCTCCTTCAGCCACGTTTCTTGCTTTTAATTCTTATTTGTCAGCAGTGTCTGGATCAAAATTCTATTGATTTGCAATTTGATATACTGTAGTCCAAAAACGGATTAACCCTTGGGCAGCAAAGTCAGACTATTTCTGCAAAATTTTGTTGCACCTCAGGGAAGAAAATAAAGAAAGGACAACAGGGATTTGAGGACAAAGTTGGGGAAAATTTCCGATGTTTTTTTCTTTTTGCGCAGAAAAATTTTGAGGGAAAAAAAATTCTATGCTATAAGCAATGGGCTTTTCCAGGAATAATCCTGACTTTGCCTCAGCCCACCTGGAAGGTCTTTTCTGACCTTCAGAAGACTTGAAACGCACCAGCATACAAAAATAATCCAATTTTGGCTGGCAATGGGAAAGAACCCTGTGCCGTTCAAGGGTTAACAGGGTTGAATGGCGCGGGGTAACCACCAGTGTCAGGGTCAATGATGATGTTGGTTTCGCTGATGGATTCTTTAAAAGCGCTGCTGAAAAATTGCAAAGCCTTCGCGAACTCAATTTTCAATCATTGAATTTATTTTTTTTATTTTTGCAGGAGTACATCAAGACTGATCCAACTGAAAGATCTTTGGACAACACGGTTATATTCGCTGTCAAACAAGGCATGGAGCCTGTGGCGTTCAAGTCCGTTTTCCCCAAGTGGGATGACGCTTTGTGGGACGTGAGTAATAAGGAATGATGAAGCCGCGAAATACCCGAACCGAGCATCATTTCTTCAATTGCTTTATTTGAAACTTTTATCAATGAATTGCACATCACTACGATTTATTCTTGCTATGCTGTATATTTATTTGGAATGTGGTCGATGCATTTTCTCCCGGTCTTGGTTTCATTTCTTTTCGACTCATTAAAAAAAAACAATTTTAGGCCGACAATATCTAAAATTAGAAATTCATCAATTGTTTTTAAAACTTTTCAGGAAATTGCACATCAGTACGATTTATTATTCATATTTTTATTTGGAATGTGGTCGATGCATTTAAAAACAATTTTAGGCCGACAATATCTAAAATTAGAAATTCATCAATTGTTTTTAAAACTTTTCAGGAAATTGCACATCAGTACGATTTATTATTCATATTTTTATTTGGAATGTGGTCGATGCATTTTCTCCCGGTCTTGGATAAAGTGGCGTGGTTTCATCTGTCGTGTTGAGGTGTATTTATAAAATTGAACCTTGATAAATTGAACCTCATTGAAGTCAAAAATATCCTCATGTCGAATTTTTTGAAAGTACCCATCTGTTTGAATTCCCTTGGAAACGATGCATTAAAAACCTCCCTAGCTAAAAGAATTTTCCTTTAATAACTCCATCTAACTTGAATTTTCTAGAGGCCTTTTTGCTCATTTTTTTTTATTGACACAGGAATGAAAAGAGCAAAAGAAATATAATAGCATGTGTTTTGAAAGTTTGGGCAAATGAAGGTAAGTATCTTTTCAAGTCATTTAAAAATTAAATTTTGGCTCACAAGATCAACAATTACAAGTTATTCCTGTAATTCTTTTATTTGCCCCACAACAATTAAAAATGCTTTTTCTCTTACTCGATTTTTCTGCTGTTCCCTTTATTGAAGGTCGACTGTACGATTTTTATTTATGTTGAAGATATGGAATGAGGAGCATTATTCTTTTTTTTTTCGAGCATGAATCTTTATTGGGGGTTTTTCTTTCTTTTCTCGGAGTGAGCTCATCTGTGACGAGGGTGGAAAATTGAATCAACAAATATATTCTGATGCTTGTTTGTATATATTGGTGCTAAAAACAATTTTAGGCCGACAATATCTAAAATTAGAAATTCATCAATTGTTTTTAAAACTTTTCAGGAAATTGCACATCAGTACGATTTATTATTCATATTTTTATTTGGAATGTGGTCGATGCATTCTCTCCCGGTCTTGGATAAAGTGGCGTGGTTTCATCTGTCGTGTTGAGGTGTATTTATAAAATTGAACCTCATCAAGTCAAAAATCTCCTCATGTCGAATTTTTTGAAAGTACCCATCTGTCTGAATTCCCTTGGAAACGATGCATTAAAAACCTCCCTAACTAAAAGAATTTTCTTTCAATAACTCCATATAACTCGAATTTTCTGGAGGCTTTTTTGCTAATTTTTTTTATTGACGCAGGAAAGAAAAGAGCAAAATAAATGTAATACTGTAGCATGTGTTTTGAAAGTTTGGGCAAATGAAGGTCAGCATCTTTTAAAATCATTTAAGAAGTAATTTTCGGCCCAAAAGATCAGCAATTACAATTTATTCCTGTAATTCATTTTTCTGCCCCACAACAATTAAAAATGCCTTTTCTCTTACTCGATTTTTTCTGCCCCACAACAATTAAAAATGCCTTTTCTCTTACTCGATTTTTTCTGCTGTTCCCTTTATTGAAGGTCGACTGTACGATTTGTATTTATGTTGAAGATATGGAATGAGGAGCATTATTCAAAAAAAAAGCTCGTACTTAGAAATAACCCCCAAAAAGAAAGAAAAGAGCCTCACTCGAGTAGACACTGCTCCCACCTTTTAACTTAGTTGTTTATATAAGACTACGAACAAACATATATAACCACGTGCACGAACATGCTTTTTATGTATGAGTAGCTTTGAATCTTTTACCTAAGGCCGAAACCTACTATGTACGACGCCGGATTAGCTCCTCTTTGTTTCTGGTAAAGAAAGTTTAGTGTGCAAAAGATAAGACAATAATTAATCGTACAGGACGGTTTAGTTGGTTTTCCTGTTACTGCATGTAATCTTACATACGAATGATGGGGGTGGTTCTTGAGAGTTTTCTTCTGTCTTTTGCCTTCAATACTTATCGTCATGCCCTGTCACTATAACTTTGTTCAGCATGCTTCTCCTCAGTCCATTTACACCAGTAAAAAATGCAGAACATGAAATTCTCAATGTAAACTGAAAAGGATGCATCATCATTTGAAAAAAACCATTAAGATAAATTTATACACAGCAAGCAAGGTTATTTTATTTTTTCTCTCCATGTTTTAAGAAATATAAGAAACTGATTGTGCATCACATCTTTGCATGACCATGCAGGGTACAGCATGTCACTTATATGGTGGTTATATTTCTTTATGTAATATGCATGCTTTTTCTTAACTATTTCTCTTACTACTGTAATAGACTGTCTTGTAACACTGGATATTTATTCTTATGCTTATACAGTGACTTAGAATCTCAATAACTCGAACATTCCTGTATCAAGTCGAATACTGTACCTCTCTTTATTATAAGTCCAATTTTTAAAGTCTTTGTCCAAATGCCCTTGAAAGGAATGCATAGAAACTACTCTAATTCCAAGGATTTTCATCCAAAAACCTCCATAAATCAAATTTTCAGAGGCCTTTGGCTACTATTTTCTTGACACAGGAAAGGAAAATAATAATGAAAAATTAACCATGATTTTTGAAAGAAAGGGGAAGGCGCTATAGTTGGGCAAATTATGAACCCTTGCTGCTGCCTGAATAATATCAGCATCCTGTCAACTCATTTAAGAAGCAATTGAAAACCCAGAATATCACTATTCATAATTTCCTACAATTCTTCTATGTTTCCCACAACAGAAGTGCTTGTTTTCCCTTACTCAAAACATCCCAAAACCGTCTCCAGTTGAATTATTTTGCTGGTCCCTTGAAATTTGACTTAGAGAGGTTCCATTGTAACATTATGGGAGTGGATGTCCCTTGACAAGCATGGGTTTGAATGTGTATATCATGTGTTAGAAACAAACAAAATTCGTTGGAATTACTTCAATAACATTGCCTCTCTTATTTTTGGACAGAGTGATAAATCGTTGGACCAGGTCAAGCTGGAATTAGAAGAGCGGAATGCGTCTGTGGAGTGAGACACTACGTGGGCCTTTGTAAAAATATGGCTATATATACATGGCTTTGAGATTTATGTGAATATCCTCCATGCACATGCTGATGAGTTAACAAAGGCGGGAGGTGATTGATTCTGTCCAAAGAATATATTTTTTTTTTTTGCTGCTGGCTTCGCTTTAATCATATTGGCGGAAATTTCCGCAGGGAAGAAGGATTGAATTGAGCTGGCAACATTTTCCTTGTGGTGTAATGCCATGCATGTACAATACTGAAAATCCTGATGCTTTGAGCCCTTGCTTACTTGGAAACATAATAAAGAAGGCAAAGAATTTTGCTGAAGGTGGATTTGCTGGAAGTTTTCTGATTTTTTGGTTGAAGTACTGTACTGTACATCACTTGGTGGCTACAGTCAAGGCAAGATTCAGCTTTCCAGCATAAGCATTTTCTTGGATGTACTGGATGAGAACTAATTGTCTTTACAGCTCTGAAAATCTTCTCAATACTGTACAATAGCAAGTGAACCCCCTTTTCAAGCTCAGCCTGCATGTTTGTCATTTGCAGTTCCTGGGACTTACAGGTTGATTGATTGTTTCTGCAACAATCTTCTCTATATAATGACTTTTATGGTCCCATATAAGGTTCTCTCCCAATGCTATAGGGGTTCTCCACAACTTTTTTTTTTATCTGAATTTCACTGTAGCAAGAGTCCACCAGTACAGTATTTGAAAGTTGTGCCACATTCTTATTGAATGCGACATATGCCATCCGTTGAAGAAGTGTAAGAAATGGTCAAAAACAGAGGCAATTTCTCAGCAACTGCTCTGGTTGCTTCTACAGTACAGTATATCTTCATGCACTACAGGCCTACAGGGGTTACGCATTCTCCTTCAAGCAAACATCAGCTGTTCAACAGATATTACACACCAAACTGAGTTTTCAACTGAGAAAAACCACCTCAATGAAGGAAAAAAAATCTTCAATTTTATTCAAAAACCCTTGAAAAATCTGAGCAGAAAATGCCTCGTCTCCTAAAGTAAGACACGCCAAATCAATGAAAAAAAACCAATAAACGCAGCAATATGTAGCCAGAGAAAAATCCTGTCACACTTCAAGGCATACTGAAATTCAACACTCCCTCCCAAAAATTGAAATCCAAACGGATAAGGCCAATACGCGGAGGAACGAACGCAGGCACTCAATAAAATCCTTTCACTCACACACACACACACACAAAAAAGAGAAAAACGCTCCTTTTTCAGCTATCCCAAAACAGACCCCCATCAAATCATCCCTCTCACACCCACCGCGGCCATAAAAAAAAAAAAAAACCTGTACAACGCCATCGAGATCTGAGCAGTTCTTCGACTACGCTGTTCCCTCTCCTGCACTGAACCAAACGCCTCAGAAAGACAACGTGCATGATAAATCACCCTACTTCGTCTCAATTGTTCTAGATATCAATCTAGTTCGTCAACACAAGGGTGCCTTGAAAATGAACAAAAAAAACAAAATACTCTGTCTCGCAAACCACTCATCGCAGAACAGCGCATATCTCATTCAGTCGCCATATCCGCAAAAATAAAGAATGAAAGATAAATCCGAGGAGTACCACGATTGCAGACATCATGATATGTGGCAGGCACTAACAATTGAATTCCTCTAACGGTCTAACCCTAGACTCCCTATCCCTTTTCATGTGGTACCACCACATGGCTAAGTAAAAGCAATTGTGCCATCTGGAAACAACCCTGGTTACCACCTGTCAAATAGCAACTTCCTACTTCATAGCAACATCATTTCTCAAGAATAAGCAGGAGATGGTACACTTCGCAGAAAACCAGAGGCTTAAAACAGTATTAATAGGGTTCTTCAGCTGTATAGTCTGGCACTGAGGTACCATCTTTTGACAACAAAAGATCAGTTGACAACAGAGCTAGATTTTTTCCATGGAAAATTGGATGCCCTTGAAACATGTCTGATCCATGTAGCTACAGTAGAACTTGAACATAAATTCTTGTCAAAAATACTTTAGGACTTTTTAAAAATTCTGTGATAAAAATTATGCATTACAACAAAACTTGAATTGGATAAGGACTTGAAAAAACTTCGATTTGTTAAGAAAAAAAGTGATTTTCTTCTAATTTGAACTTCATCCAGCTTTAAAATTTGTCACACAGCAGCAATATTTTCCAAGACTGACTTTGTCTTCTACCAAATGTAAGTAAGCTGGGAGGTCAAACGAAGAATACATTTTTTCTTAGATGCTACTTGTTTTCACCTCAGGTAAGAATTTTAGTGACCTTAAGTCGAACTTGAAGATCCCAGCATTAAAAAATTTGGCACAACAGAAAAACTGCCTCATTGGGCCAGAAATTCAGTTGTTTTACCTTGCATCCAAGACAGTCATGCATATTATCTGGCAGTTGTCAGATTACCAACTGAAGCAAAACAAGTTGAAAAGCCCTACACTTAACTACCCTCATAAATTATACACCTTACAAACTAAGATCATTTATCTTTAGCCACGGAAAAAAAATCTTTAGCCCTTCATGCACTATTGAATCCCTAAGTCACAAGCGTGACTGACAGAACAACTCGTCTTTTATTCCAAAATTAGTCTTCTTAACATTCTACCTTTCGTATTTACATTTGCACAATGCTAAGGAAACGCTTCCAAACCCTGCCCGTNAAAAAAAAAAAACCTGTACAACGCCATCGAGATCTGAGCAGTTCTTCGACTACGCTGTTCCCTCTCCTGCACTGAACCAAACGCCTCAGAAAGACAACGTGCATGATAAATCACCCTACTTCGTCTCAATTGTTCTAGATATCAATCTAGTTCGTCAACACAAGGGTGCCTTGAAAATGAACAAAAACACGAAATACTATGTCTCGCAAACCACTCATCGCAGAACAGCGCGTATCTCATTCAGTCGCCATATCCGCAAAAATAAAGAATGAAAGATAAATCCGAGGAGTACCACGATTGAAGACATCATGATATGTGGCAGGCACTAATAATTGAATTCCTCTAACCCTAGACTCCCTATCCCTTTTCATGTGGTACCACCACATGGCTAAGTAAAAGCAATGGTGCCATCTGGAAACAAACCTGGTTACCACCTGTCAAATAGCAACTTCCTACTTCATAGCAACATCATTTTTCAAGAATAAGCAGGAGATGGTACACTTTGCAGAAAACCAGAGGCTTAAAACAGTATTAATAGGGTTCTTCAGCTGTATAGTCTGGCACTGAGGTACCATCTTTTGACAACAAAAGATCAGTTGACAACAGAGCTAGATTTTTTCCATGGAAAATTGGATGCCCTTGAAACATGTTTGATCCATGTAGCTAAAGTATAACTTGAACATAAATTCTTGTTAAAAATACTTTAGGACTTGTTAAAAATTCTGTGATGAAAATTATGCATTACTACAAAACTTGAATTGGATAAGGACTTGAAAAAACTTCGATTTGTTAAGAAAAAAAGTGATTCTCTTCTGATTTGAACTTCATCCAGCTTTAAAATTTGTCACACAGCAGCAATATTTTCCAAGACTGACTTTGTCTTCTACTAAATGTAAGTAAGCTGGGAGGTCAAACGAAGAATACATTTTTTCTTAGATGCTACTTGTTTTCACCTCAGGTAAGAATTTAGGGTGACCTTAAGTCGAACTTGAAGATCCCAGCATTAAAAAATTTGGCACAACAGAAAAACTGCCTCATTGGGCCAGAAATTCAGTTGTTTTACATTGCATCCAAGACAATCATGCATATTATCTGGCAGCAGTCAAATTACCAACTGCAGCAAAACAAGTTGAAAAGCCCTACACTTAACTACCCCCATAAATTATACACCTTACAAACTAAGATAATTTTTCTTTAGCCATGGAAAAAAATCTTTAGCCCTTCATGCACTATTATTAGGGATTCAGTGTTCGCACTGACTGTCTTGTTGAGCAGAAAATAAGGTTTTAATCAGAAGAATTGTAAGATGGAAAGCATAAATGTAAACGTGTTACGATTCCTTTGCGAAGGTTTGGGACGGGCTAATCTTTTTTGGCAAAACTTCAAGATTCGTTCCGGAGAATCCTAAGACTGAACGTAAAAGTTTTCCAACACTTTGCAAAACCTGAGATCAGACTCGAGCAGTTTTCATTCCCCAATTCAATTGAGCTGGAACTAGAGGTACACATTTCGGTCCAACGCTTCAGAAAAAGAAAGGATTTTCTTGGGGAAAATTTCTGAATTCCTAAGCGTAAGATTGCATTTTGCGAGTGGATTTACCTGATACTGCCCGTTTTTTTTCTTTTCTGAATCAACAACAGATGAAACCAATTTTAGCCGGATCATTCGGCAACGCTCATAAAGAACAACTTGACTTACACGAAAAAAAAAAAAAAAATTTAAAATATCCTCACTCGACCAAAATTTCCTTCCATTCGAGAACATGTCCACGTTATTTTGCCCACTTACTTCCACAGCGAAAAGTTGCAAAAAAGAAATTGGATATTTTTCAATCCTTCTTGAACACTTGGCCCAAAAACTATAGCTATTCAAAATATCATTGACAGAGAATTTCAAATCATACAACACACGTACCACTAATCGAGGAACAAGCTTCTTTCTCAGCGTCAAAATCGCAAAACAAGCGACAGTTCTTCAAAAAATGGCCTAAAAAAATTTGTCGCAAAATCGTTGGGCGGGATCAGTGTAAAAATATTATCGGTTGGTTTCTTTTCTTCATTCACTGCACCTTTCCGCATTCACCAGTTTCTAAAGAACAAACTTGGAAGATGAATAAAGCTAACTGTTAGCGCGCATAAAGTGTCAAAACAACTTCTTGAAAAACCTCGCGAAACACACTTTTTTCTTCATCATCATCAGAGCACTTTTGAGACGTTTCGAGTGTTGGTTAATTTTGAGGGGGGAAAAATCCGGAAAATATTCACTCATGAGTTCAATCGCATTCTTCCACGAGAATTTCAATCCTAATGCACCTCAATTTCTCCGGTTATCAACAGCAAAAAAAAACGAACTATAAAATCTCTCTCTCTCTCATTTGTTGCATGAAAAATAACTGACACACGTCACTCATTCCCACGCGTTAAAACTCTAACAAGATAGCTTTTGATCTTCCCAGAAGCAAAAAAAAAAAAACCACGAGGAGAAAACGAAACAAAATCTGCCACATGAAACAAATACTCCCTCACCTGCAGTCATACGAGCCATGAGCGAAAAACAAAAAAAAAGGAGTCGACTCATGACAAGAAAGGAGGCAAGAATGAGGACATGTCGTCGCGAGGCATCGAATGTCGCAAGGGTAAGCGACGGTAGCAGGGGTGCAGTAACAATAACTAACAGAAGAAGCATGACTTGTGACAAGAACTTCACACCTGGCCTGAGCCAGGGTCGTCAGGTAACTAGGGTCGAGGAGGAGGAGGATTTCCTCCGCCAATCATTCCTACAATTCGTGGAAAAAACGATGCACGCTTTCAGTGAGGGTCAACAATTTCGCACTTTGTTGATGAGATACAGTACTCTCGCTTTTGACAAGATGTACTCTTGTTAATCTTCACGCGAAAGCACAGATTTTTCAGCAGCAATACAGTACTGTACAGTGGGTCCCAAAAAATTAAATTCACGAGGGTTGGTTCATAAGCTTTGAGACTTTCTGAAATAGATCCAAAAGGGTTTCAAAAATTACAGCCCTACAATTTGGCAGCACTGAATGCATCACGAAATTTATTTCAGAAGACGCACCAGTTACAAATACGATAGGAAGTGTTGCCAAATTATAGGGATGTGGGAGTGCAAAAAAATTTTTGAAACGCTGTTGGATCTATTTCAGAAAGTCTCAAAGCTTATGAACCAACATATAACATACTCTTTGCTAATTTTAATGCATCGTTTCATGGGATAAATCCGATCATCAAAACAATGCCGAAAATCTAGTTCTGTTAGATGTTTGGGCACCCTGTGACTTCTGCCTGTCCCCCAACAGTGAAGAACAACTTGAAAGGGATTGATTCTGAGGACAAAAACAGACTCATTTCCGCCGTCTGAGAGAAACTTGATCAACAAACGGAAGTTGATTTTGGCACAGTTTAGATCCTTGGATTTATCTCTTGGAAAAATTCACTGAAATCGGCAAAGAACATGTTGAACAGCACGGAAGTGTTGCCAAATTATGGGGCTCTGAAAAAAATTTTCTTTTTTGGGATTGTTGAAACACCATTGGATTTAATCCAAAACGTATCACCACCACCCATCGTATTTGTAACTGGTGGGTCTTCTGAAAAAATTTCGTGATGCGAAAAGCATTTTCCTTTAAGGCTACATTGTATTATTTTAAATTTGTTCCAAAATCACCAGAAGACCACAATCAACAACAAAATTCAAGTACCGTAATTCTAAAAATTCCTCGCTCATGAGTTTCTGAATTTCACAAGTACAGTATTAAAATAAAAGAATATGGAAATCGTTCCCATTCGCTGCCATCGTCCCCACGTCATTGTTATTGATTGTCTTCTTCGTACTGAACACTGTTCTTGAAGTGTGGACCGGACTCGGTCCCAGCAGTCCATTGATCCCAGCTCCTCCTCCTCCTCCATTTCCTCCACCAATCATTCCTACAAGTCGTAGAAAAAACGATGAACGCTTTCAGTGAGGATCTACAATTTCGCACTTCGTTGATGAGATACAGCACTCTCGCTTTTGACAAGAGGTACTCACAGGTACTCTTGTTAATCTTCACGCGAAAGCACAGATTTTTCAGCAGCAATACAGTACTGTACAGTGGGTCCCAAAAAATTAAATTCACGAGGGTTGGTTCATAAGCTTCGAGACTTTCTGAAGTAGATCCAAAAGGGTTTCAAAAATTTTTTTGCACTCGCACAGCCCTATAATTTGGCTGCACTGAATGCATCACGAAATTTATTTCAGAAGACGCACCAGTTACAAATACGATAGGAAGTGTTGCCAAATTATAGCGCTGTGCGAGCGCAAGCAATTTTTGAAACGCTGTTGGATCTATTTCAGAAAGTCTCAAAGCTTATGAACCAACATAACCAACATATAACATACTCTTTGCCAATTTTAATGCATCGTTTCATGGGATAAATCCAATCATCAAAACAATGCCGAAAATCTAGTTCTGTTGGATGTTTGGGCACCCTGTGACTTCTGGCTGTTCCCCCAACAGTGAAGAACAACTTGAAAGGGATTGATTCTGAGGAAAAAACAAGCTCATTTCCGCCGTCTGAGAGAAACTTGATCAACAAACGGAAGTTGATTTTGGCATTGTTTAGATCCTTGGATTTATCCCTTGGAAAAATTCACTGAAATCGGCAAAGAACATGTTGAACAGCACGGAAGTGTTGCCAAATTATGGGGCTCTGAAGAAAATTTTCTTTTTTGGGATTGTTGAAACACCATTGGATTTTAACCAAAACGTATCACCACCACCCATCGTATTTGTAACTGGTGGGTCTTCTGAAAAAATTTCGTGATGCGAAAAGCATTTTCCTTTAAGGCTACATTGTATTATTTTAAATTTGTTCCAAAATCACCAGAAGACCACAATCAACAACAAAATTCAAGTACCGTAATTCTAAAAATTCCTCGCTCATGAGTTTCTGAATTTCACAAGTACAGTATTAAAATAAAAGAATATGGAAATTTATAATCCTTCTTCCATTTCCTAAATTTTCAAAAAAAATGCAAACGTTAAATTCAAAACGCAATACAGTTTAAGCGTGTCAAGTCCAAACGTTCGTCAGGGGAAACAATTTCGTCCAGTGAATCAGTTCTTTCTAGCTAAAAAAAATTCGCGATGCGAAAAATATGTGATGAAAATTTCGCAATTCAAAATATTTTTGCGGGTTTTTGTTTACTGCGGGCACCCAGGGTACTCTATTTAGATTTATTTCGAGAACAATCTAGAAGTACCCAGCCACACCTGGTCATCAAACATTTCAATTATACCGAACTTTTTCATAGTTCCCCGGAAGTTCTTTGTAACTAGATTTCCCTGTATTGATTCCTGTATAACACACCAACACTACAGGTGGGCACAAATCTACACCAAAATTCTCTCTTCATTGCATTTTTCATGGTCCCCTACAATTTGTTGCAGAGAACCTCTGAGTAGGTAATGAATAGACTAATACAGTAGAGAATTTCATGGACAGCAAATAAATTCTATATACAGTGAGACCCCCACATGCAGACACCTTGACCTGCAGACAATTCAACATATGGACACTTATTTTCCCATAAAAAAAAATAATAAAAAAGGCTTGACATGAGGACATTCTATGATAAAGTTGCAAATACATTTAAGGCCAAGTTACAAGAAACAGATATTTCCAACCCCAAAATTGAGGTAAGAAAAGTTCTTGGGCATTTCTCTCACCAATTTACCACCCATTTTCTCTCACCAATTTACCATCCATTTAGCTAATTTAAAAAAATTACCTCGGGGATAGAGGGACTTCCTTCTCTCTTTTTCACTTGAATGATATGTTTTACATAGAATGCCAACATTTCTATTTACTGTACAGAGGTACAGTATCAGTATTCAAATCACCAAATGTCCATATTGTGTTGAAATATGTACATTAAATCAGTTTGAAATGGGAGGCAATTTTTATTTTCATGGAATTATTGATAGTATTTCGTACATAAAATACCAATTAAAATTAAATAATGTAAGTCTAAGGGAAAATGAGACTCAACTTAGGGACACTCTTGATGCACCAAATCATGTCCGCATCTCAGGGTCTCACTGTACGGAGAAAATTATTGTAGACAAAATAAATTTAGGGACCGAGAATCCAATGTACTGTATTGACAAAGAAAAACAACAACAAAAAACTTACCATTGCCAGGAGATTTCAGAGGACCACCGTTGTCCATCTGGAAAACACTGGTTCCCATGTGCTTGTCCAGCTTGGCCAAAATATGCTTGCCATAGAGGAATTTGCGCAGGAGCGGGATTTGCGGCTGAAGTCTCCTGAGCAACTTGGCCTTCTGCCCTCCCTCGGCCTTCTCAATCATTTTTTGCACCACGTAATTGGCGTACTGGTCCTTCACCATCACGTGTAGCGGACACGAGAACACGTCCTCGGGGTTCGTCAGAGTACAGATCTCTTCAATGATCACGTCCCTGTCAGCTCGCTCGGCAACTGCAATGCACTTCTCCACCACGTTGGAGGCGAACTTGTGCTGCGACAAATGCGACACTTTGCCGGAAACTGTGCGGACGATCGCTGCTCGGTCTTGGGCATTCCCATGTAGAAGGACGTGCTTGAAAAAAAAAAAATCAAAAGTTTTTCAAACGACTCTTTCGAAGACGACCGAAAGGAAAAAGGGCAATCGATACACGCCAAACAGGGTTTCATATTTCGTAGTTTTTTTTTTTTTTTTTCACCTGTATCACGTAGTTGCCGTATTGATCCTGTAACAACGCTTCGGCATGCGCCAACAATTCTTGCAACAAGGGCGACGTTTGCTCTGGCAAACAATGCTCCAAAATCCGCTGAATGACCCGACATCCGTACGGGTGTGCACTCATCGAATAAACCTTTCAAATTCAGAGAAAAGGCGAAACATTCAATTTCAATACACGGTGAACAGCTATATTCGTAAAGAACGTGATTATCTGATTCCAAATCCAACACTATTACACAACGAATGATATTTGAGCCATCTCGTCTCCCGAAGCAACCGAAGACACCCAACGAAACCTCGAGTAATAACTAGGACCACTTCGTCAAGTACTGCATATAAAAATAAGAACCTACACATGAGCTCAGGAATTGTGAAGATCCACTACTTCTCTCGTCAACAAAACCAAATAGAAAAATAACCTGAACGCATCTACAACAAAAAACTCCGAACTAGCCGAAAAGCTGATTTATGACTTGAATTCAAGCGACACCTACGTGATTATGAAGAAACTCACGGGTTCTGCAATGTCAGAAATTGACGTAAAAAATACTGTACTGTACAGTATTATATGAGCAAGTGGAACATCTTCAAGTCAAACTTCAGGGGTTTAGTGCCAGGGAAACAAACATCTCTCGTCAGGTAAAAGAGAAAACAATTACAGGAAACTTCAATTGGTGATAATGGCCATGAATTGCTTCTGGAATGGACTGACAGGATGCTGTAATTGGGAGGCAGAACACCATCTGTTCATTTACTCAATCAGTCTTTCACTTCCCTTCAGAACACTTCAAGCTATATTTTCATTGATTTTCTCGTTCCTGCATCGATTAAAAAAACAGCCAAAATGCCTCAAGGAAATTTTGATGGAGCGGAAAGCCTTAGAGTTATGGAGGTTGTTCTTGCGTCGTTTCTAAGCAAAGTCGAACAGGGACTTGGAAAACAATCGACACGCGGAGATTCGAGCAATCAAGGTTCAACTCTTTTTCTAAATTGCGACGAAATCGCGCTAATGAAAATGCGCATGACTGTCTCGGGAAATGAAACTGGATACGAATGCCCTCAAAAACGTAGACTCTCCTCAACTATTGAAGCTTACGCATAGAATCGAGTAATGAACATGATTCAAAACACACGTAAACCAAACAGGCTTCAGTCAAGCTACTGAGTCGACTCACTCGGGGATAATAAAAAAAAAATACTCACCACACCTACACGTAAAAACGTCATCAACGTGTTCCCGCACTTCAACGCTATTCCAACTCTACTTTTTTTTCTTCTTAAATTTCAAAGCCTAACCAGAAAATAACTAGGTGAATGAAATACCTGGCCCGCAAAGGCATCCACGATAAACTGCAGGGCAGAAGGGTCCACAAATTCCAGGCATTTCTGCACCACGTGATTCCCATTCTGGTCTTCTACACAGGGCAAGACGTGACCATCCAGCTCACGAACCAGCTCCAGCTGCACTTCTTTCGGCACGGTTTCAATCACTTTCTGGATCACGCGACAGCCGTACATCTGCATTGCCAGGCAAACCACCTTCCCTCGGATCTGCCAGAACAAAAAAATATATACAATAATAACCCATAAATACAGCAAATTCATTTTTCATCCGGATTGAAAATTCATTTTAAAATACTGTCAGATGATAAACAAACTTTACCGAAAGTATTCCCGTAATTCGCGTTATTTCTGCGTAGCTACGACAATTGAAACTTTAAAACGCCGGGGGTCGATTTTATTCGTCATTGCACTCCTTTCCGTTTAGGAGAGTAATATTCTTCATTCCGAAAAAATATTCCATGAATTTTGAGACAGAGCACAAAGATTATTCGAAAAGAGAGGCATAAACAAATTGATTTCAAAACAGAACTCGAAAAGCTCCTCTGACAACTTGAAATACCGTAGTTATATTTTTCTGATGATAAAATTTAGTCGAGTGAATATCATTATCATCGCGTTGGAAGCCGATTAGAAAAAGCGGTACAATACAATGTTTTACATGAATTCAAATTTGAAACTGATACTCATTTGCAGCTGGTTTGAATGATTTCAAATTTTGCCATTTTGAAAGACACGGGCAACTACGATTAAGCCTTCTTCAAAATTCTAAGCACGCACAAGCTTGAATCGACAACTTGAGATAAAATATTTGTCCATTTCCGATGACAGAATTCAGTCGAGGAAATATCAATATTCAATGGGACACGGACAAATGGAGACAGACAATTTGAGACTGGACAAATCGAGACAGGAACGATTCGAGAAAAGGACAATTTGAGACAAAAACAATCTTAATGAGGAGAGGAATCTGCTTAGATTGGTTCAAGAGTTTTTCCTTGATGAGGAAAACTCACTTGACAGTGATAAGGGAAAAAAGGAGAAACACCCCGGGATTATGGACTTTTCACCGAACAGTGCAATTTTTGTTCATTTTCACATCTTTAACATAAGATAATAGGGAGAAACACAGTCAAGTCCTTTTGTGTTCTCAAAATGTATTTGTCTCAATTTGTCCTGTTTCAAAAGTTTCTGTCTCAACTTGTCTGTCTCTATTTGTCCTAGATCCATATTGAATCATGTTACAAGAAAATGAGAGACAATACATTACTTTACATGATGTTTAATGTAGCCCTGACCGTCATTCGCAGATGGTTTGAATGATTTGAAATTTTGTCATTTCAATAGACATAGGCAATCACGTTTGAATCTTCTTCAAAAATTCGAGGCAGGAAGAATTCTGATTCGGATGATCACGTTTCCCTATGACACTTGAAACAATTTCCTTCCCCCGTAGAAACAACCTTAACCCAACTGATCAATCGCTCATCTTTTTAACTCAAACCTGACAGAAATACGAAGACCAAAAAATCCCTTCGCCCTTTCCGAGTCTTCATATGAAAATTTTCCATTCTAATCATCAACAAATCCGAACACTGACCGTTTGGACAAGCATGGACTTCTGCTCCACGGAACCGTACTCGAAGAACTTTTGGATCACGTAGTTGCCGAATACGTCCACCATCAGATCGTAGGCGTGTGGGAGAATCTCAGTGAGCACCAGCTGCGTTTCGACATGTGTGGCAACTTCCAGTCGTTGCTGAATATACCGAGAACCGTGTTGGTCCCGCGAAAACTCCACCAAGTGCGCCTCCATATCGTTCAACGACATGTTCGTAAATCGGTTGTTCCTGTTTCAAAAATCATCAAAAACATTCAATATACTGTAGTTGAGCAGAACAATAAAGCATTGCTACGAATGATCATGTCAGGCAATCAGTTCCCAGCGGTATTCAACAGGGAATTCGGAAATGACTTTACCATTTCGGGCTACAATATAAATCGAGAGAAGACGAGGAATGCGATGAAAAATATCAGTGAGGTGGAACCCAAATGTTTTTTTTCCTTTCACACCAGATTAGAAATTACTGCCGTCAAAATTAGCAAGTCTCAGAAGACATTTATGCGTAATTCTTCGAGGTACAGTGAATCCAAACTGCGTTAAAAATCTATAATGCATGAAATTCACAAGAAATTAACACGGCACGATAAAATAAATTAAGATGGCATTCGATTCATTTTTACAACGACCAAATGCACTTGAAATTCAAAAAAGACATCGTACTACACGAATAAAACGAACAGGAGGCCCTTTTTCGTGTTGTTTCTATTTACCGAGTCTCAAAAATTCAGGATGGCTCAATCATTGAATAACAAATAAAAGCTCTGAAATAGCCTGGAATGAAAAACTTCCTCCAGATGATCCATGAAGTAATTTGAAGATGAAGTAAAATTGCCGATATGCAAGAAGCAAAAAAATAAACCTCGAATGGTTTATAACTTGAAGTACTGTTCCAAAGAATGCGCAAACTCTACCTGAAATCATCAAGTAACTTGCTCCTCAAAGGCATGGCCTTTCCTGAATCTGCCCTCCGATAATTCAGTTCACCTCCAGGCAAAGACGAAAACATTCCACTGTCCCAAGAAGACGACATTCCAGCAGCGGGATAATTGTTGAAGCCGTTGAACGCATTGCCCGCAGTCAAGGGATAGGGCATCGTACCAGAACCCGCGGGTTGTTGAGAGAACTGTGCATTCGGTTGGTTGTTGGCACCCGCGTACTGACCGTCATTCCGTTGCCCTGAAAAAGTCATTCAATCGAGATTTTCATTGAAATTCAAAAACGAGTGTTCGGAACAGTGCTTTGAAATTGAGAGCACCGCGGAAATTATCCCCGACAGTTTGAGGAGGATTAATCGGAATACAGCAGCTCGTTCAGCTAAGGTGTGATGAACAGATCAAATGCATTCAGGCGAAGAATGGCTTTTCTTTTTCGAGGGCTTCATTAGGGTTAATTAAGTGCGAACGCTTCACGGGAGGTGGTACTTTTTGCACGTTAAGAGTTCGTGAGACGAAGCAGAAATCAAATCAATCAACATCAACGTGTTCCAACAGCAATTTAAGCCGTAATATTACGATTTCAACGTCCCCGAATCCGTCACGTTCGTCACCATCACAGACATTTGAAAAATGCACAGTACAGTCGAACATCAAGGGATCAGCAAAAGATTCGTATTAGGGAGGTTTCTAATTAGGGAAACAAGAATTTGTGTTACGGGAAAGAAATAAGCATTAAATTAATCTTTAATTGGTGATATTCTAGGCCTTGATTTGCTTTTTATATGAGTTAACTAGGTTTCTGAACCTTCGAGGCCAGCGTTGATTTGCCAAATCAGTCTTTCACTTCCTTTCAAAACCCATCAAGTTACATTTTCATCGCTTTTCTCTTTCTTGTGTCAATAGGAAAATGGCCAAAATGCCTTCCATGAAAATTCGAATTCCCGAGGTTTTATGAGGCAAGCCTTCCAGTTAGGGAGGTTTTCAATAAATTGCATCTAATTGAAGTCAGACAGGGACTCGAAAAAGAATTCGACATGGGGATGACCGAGTTGTCGAGGTTCAACTGAATTTTTTTCGGTTCAAAATCGGTAAAGATAGGCTGGAAAATGTATCTCAGGTTCACGTCGGCGAGGTTGTTGGTAAATCTCACGTCACTCAACTCAAGTAAAATGGGTCCGGTCAGTTAAGGTGTTCGGGAACTATATTCGGTCATCACCCAACCAAGATTCAAGATGTTCGGGCTTGGAAAAAAAAAAGAATAAATACGGACAGAAGGGAAAGTCTTTCAAGAATTTGCAACTTTGCACAACGTTCGTCTCAGGATATTTGAAAATCACCGAGAATTTATGAAATTACCGGACGGATGTAAATGTACAATTCAACCCAAGAAGGACCAACTCGATTAATAACGAATATACGGTTCCTGTAATGATCTTTTCTTTCCCCCCAAAAAAAGCCATTTCTTCCAACTTGGAATCTTCTTAACTCGAATTACCTTCCGGTCCCTTGAAGTTCGACTTGAAGAATTTCCAATCCATTAAAAAGATTGCCCGAGATAACCTCAAATCTTTCACACTTACGGTCACAGCTCTTCAACAGCTCCTAAGAAATGATTTCAATCTACGAAAAAAAAAATGCTACAACTAAAAAGAAACTCACCGGGGACTCTGGGATATAGCCCAGGTAGCATTCCTCGATCAGGTCCCATCGGACGGCCGGCCAAACTCTGCATCAGCAATCCACTCGGGCCACGATTCAGCCCCGCTTGCTGATCATAATACGCTGATGGAAGCATGTAACCAGGAACATTCGCCGGGGACATTGACCTGAACAAGAAAAACTGTATTCATTCGGGCAGCACTGAATTAAAATATTGGAAGCGCATTTAATAAAATATATAATTCGAAACTCATCCAAAATCCCTTTCCTTTTCTCAATAAATGTCATGTCATTCACATCTGCATCTCGGGGCCCCACTGCATAAGATAAACCTCAGACATTCTCTACAACTCGAAACTCACCGTAAATCCAAGCTAATCGAACCTGATGCAGTACCAGGAATGAAAAAAATGCAGGTGAATTCTCTCTACGTAACAATCCATTCTACGGTCCCATGAAGTTATCTCCACGTATTACAGGGGTTCTCCAAATCGAAATTCTTTCCATCACGAATTTTGTTCTGGCACCCTGATTTCTTTGTAGAACGAGTCCACTTCTACTTGTATCTTAGTTATAATTACACATACACAGTCTCAAAACTTGTACCAGGAAACAACTCGTTGGACAGAGAATGCAAGAGGCATCGCACACGAAAGAACACCCCATCTTAATTCACGAAAAAAGGCAAACCTCCTCGAGCTGAGATCAGGAGTGGCAGCGGAAGACGAGCCATTCGATCCATTCAAAGCCGGGCTTTGACTCGCACCCTGCATTACGCCCTGAGGATACATTCCCCAGCCAGCAGCAGCAGCAGCTGCCTGCGCTTGTTGAAGCTGAAAAAAGCTCCCGGCAACCGACATCATGTTCGGGTCCAGCATCGGTTGCAGTTGATACGGGTCCTGGGGGCTCACCAAAGACTGTTGGACAGCCGCCAAGGCTTGCTGGGCAAACAGCTGCTGCATTGTCAGGTTTTGCTGATCAGTCGGATTCCCACCCGCGTACATCTGTGACATGGAAAGAGATTGCCTCTTACTTACCATTTCATCACATAAATTAAACACCAAGAACCAAGGAAACATCAACATCGAGAATGGAGTACGGATCAACAACAAGAATACGCTCAGATAAACTTGAAAGCCTCCTCGGCCTTAAGTGAATATCACCGTCATAAATTTCTAACCGCCATACATTATAGACATCACGATCGGATCGGAGCACATACACAGAATATTAGTTCACTTATGAAGTCGTACAGAGCAGTGGTCCGCAACCCGCGGTCCAAAGAAAATTTTCATCAGAAAAATACTGTAAATTCATAAAAGGTAGTAATGAAGTTCGTTTATCTTTATCTTACATTTCGAAACGAACATGGCCGCCGAAATTATCTGATTGAAAAATTCAAGTTGGTTCTCCTTCTAATAACACTTCAGACAAAATTGTCACCGGCTGAAATAAATTATTTCAAGCAATCATGATGGGAAACCTTTCGTTACGTACAGCTCTACTTTTGTGAAGACATACCAATATAGCTGCTTCATTGGTTCTTAAATTTCGCATAAAAGATACGGTAGGAGGACTTTATGTCAGGTATTTTTAAAATTCGTCCTGGTCCGCAAAAAATTTTATCTTAACTTAAATTAATTTTATCTTATTTTAAAAATCTTTGTTCAACTTCGTTTCAATCAAAATGATGGCGTTGGCGATATTAAAAATACTGTACTGTACTACATAACATAATTGACCAGCGATTAGTCAACGAATAAAAGACTCGCTCGGATTTTTTGGTAAAATTTTGCTGAAAATTTTTTTTTTACATTCAAGTACATACGGTGACTCCTTTGCACGAATCACACGTTTACTGTATGATGAAACTCACATTTTCAAGGCCCTGCATAAATGGATCTAGCGGTTCTACGGACAGGCGGCTGAATGCAGGTTTCTCCACAATCTTAAATTACAATCTCATCAAGCAACTCAATAAAATCACGAACGTATGCAACACAATGAAAGAAGCCCCTCTCACTCATTATGTAATGACCTAACATTCTCAAAGGTGAATTCATCGAATAAAACGTGCCGTTCAACTTCTAGAATCAGAACGGTATGAACAGACTTTGACTGCTTCAACGGTTTTCGGAATGTCAATAAAACGCAGACACGAATAAGTAAATAAGCTCGAAAAACGGATAGCATTTCACGGCAGAATAGCAAACGAAACAAGGTTGCTTGAAAGCTTCTCAACTCGTTAAAATAAACTTACATGACGAAGATCATGCGACGGAAGATCCATTTGATGCGGCAGAAGGTATCCATCCCTGGCATACTGAGCCATCGACGGGTCCATGAGCATTTCGTTCATCGGACCTTGCTGAAAAAGAGCATCCATACAAATCAGAACGAGATATCATGCTCTCTTGTGAAACTCACGACAGGCAAATGTGATTAAATTTACTTTCAGGGAAAAGCGGATGAGATTATTTCAACCAGTAACATTCTGATAATGAAAAAATGATAGGAAGCTCTAGTGGCTCAAACTATAATCACCGGCATGAACTTTTGGGGCGGCGGTTGACCAACATTTGCACCAGGTTGCGAATTCGGTAACACGGGACCACGTTGATGATGAAGAGGAGGATTTTGCTGAAGCATGTGGTGATTCATCGCTGGATGCATGGAGTGCTGCCCAAGAGATACAGGAATCTCCAGATGCGGCTGACGCGTTTGCTGCCATTGGTTTCCATATGCTATCGAATACTGGTTTTGTCTTCCATCATTTCCCCTTGGACGCATTCGTGCGCGTTCTTTTTCACCTTGCTTGAGATCCGGGAGCTGCCCACAATAGCCGTAAGATCTGAAGAATACAATTAAATGTCATTACGATCAACACGCAAGAAATTTCCAAAAAATTCAGGCTCTAGATCTCACCTGCGCGAATCGTTTTCTACAGAACCGAGACCGTTCTGCATAACTGAAACATTCGTTGCCCTTCCCGGAACGTCTGACTGAACTTGAACGTGATCTGTATCCTCCGTCTCATTACCGCGCTGCAGTTGTAAAAAAAATACCCCAAGATTTTAATAGCAATAAATGTTACGTGTCTTCTAATGACGTACGATGCACATAGCCATCATCCGGGACTCCAAGTTCTCATCCTCCGGATGCATTCCGTAGGTAACTTCGCGCTTCACGCAGTTTCTTTGTGAAGTTTCATTTGTTTCAGAGACTTCAGCCTGATCACGGCCAGAAGGAAGTACTACGGACGCATCCAACGAATTCTGAGCCGACTGCCGATTGGTTCTTGACACATCCATTTCAATCGGCTCAACTTAAGTTCTGCAATAAACATTGATGTAAAACTATATACGAAAATCATTATAACGAAACCGACACCATTACGAGGCACAAATCAAGAAATAGGAAGGAAGTCAGGGGAGACTTCGATACTGCCCCCCAACTTTGACCTACTGCAGGCATCCATTAATGACAAGACCGGCCACTAGGTGTCGTAGCTGCAGCCTTTGAAGGGTTGGCATAAGTGAACGGAGTGAACGGCTGGTGTAGAATTTGATGGTAAAACACTCGAGTTGGCTATGATCAAGTTTGAAACAAACCTTCCATTATAGGATATCAATTTCGGGTATGAGATGTTTCCCAAGTTTGTACTCGATGTTGGCGGAGGAATCCCAGGTTCAACAACAGGGATTAAGTATTACTGATGTCCAGCAGCTCATACGAATCACAGGGTTTTCACCATTCCCCGTTTTAATTTTCCATTTTGAACTCACAAGCATTTTTGGAAGAAATACAATACTCTCCAAAGATTAAACGTAAGTGGCAGGTAAGTGTCATTAGGACTGAGTCATTTACTTATTTAGTCCTGTGAAAAGTTTGCTTGCATGAGTTGGATTTTGAAGTGATTTATGAAGCTTCACCTTTTTGTTGGAGGGATTTTTTTGGACGCAACCTCTAATTCTCAGGTGAACATCAAATCAAAGCTTTGTTCCAATTAAGAACTATGAAAACTTTGGAAAAACTGCTGTGATTGAGTTTCTGTTCCCCGACAATATAGATCTTCTTTTTTTAATTCCTAAGATAACCTTTGAATAGTTGTATACCTCAAAGGCATTTTAAATATCATATGAATTAATGATATGAAACTTGAATTGCTGATTGAATTATTAGAGCATTTTACGATATATTCCTACAGGCAATGCATACCTTCCAAAACGATGGAAATTATTTTCTTAGCGGACTTTCCACAGCATTTTAAGACGAAAAAAATGACATTTTCTTCGTAGGAGTGCCAATAAATTTATTTTTTACATAGTCAAGTTTGCACTGTACAAAATAGTCAAGTTTGTGCTGTAAAAAATATTCAAGTTTGCACATGCACAGTTTTTATACGCAAAAAATGTGGGATGTGTATCAAAACCAGAAATGGGTGGTGGAATAAGGTGGTAATTTTTACAAAATTCCTGAAAGTAGTTTCTTAAGAATGGGAAAAACAAGAATGACAACATTTTGTTCATTGTTGCCTGGAGGTAAAAAAAAAACCAGATTAACATTATCATAGCATAGGGTTGCTGTGCAATGGGTATGCTTGATGTATCTTTTAAAATGAATATTCCTTTCACAGTTTCTTGTTCTTGGAAGCCACTGGGGCATGATTCAGGTGTTGGATCACCTCGGAAATGCAGCTCGAGGACATGAACTACAGGCTCATGTCCTCGGAATAAATGGATTCGGAAGGAGATTGCTTGGCTTCCTGTAGTGATGATCATCACACAAAAGCATACAATTAAAAAACCAGATTAGCATTATCATAGCATACTGGTTGCTGTGAGCTCAATGTATACATAAATACTCCACTTGATCTTGTTTTTTTTTCAAATGCATTTTATTTCATGGTTCCCATGTATTAACCCATGTTGAAAAGCATTGTATTCCACCGTTTCCACGTGCGTACAGCCCGAATACCCCGTTCTTGTACATTGTGATGGTAGCGACACCTGTATGACGCACGTAGACTTGCGGTGAGGATACTGCGGGCATTCGCCGTGCCTGGCTGTGCGCTGTACAGTTAAGTTTATTAAAGTGTTTCTTAAAGTGATTTTTAAGAGATTTTTTAAAGTGTTTCTCATGTTACCTAGATTTGTGGTGATGTGACTTGAGGATTGTGAAGGAAGCGTTCATGGATATTTTCTTTAAATCTTGATACAAGGCGTCCTTAAATTTTGCGAACTTATTAACCTTTCGAATCCTTGAAAAGTTGAATGTGTGGCTCATTTGATCTGCATCATGTGGAGCAGGTTTGCGCAGACTTGTTAGCACAATATGTAAAACCGTTGGAGATAGCTTTTCTACCCTTACATGTGATTTGCTTGGTTGCAGGAAATTTTTTCTGAAAAGTGTCCATTTGAAAAGAAAGACTTGGTCGAGTCGAAGATTGCCTAAGTCATGTCCGTTCTTGGTGCGCGTTATATGTTTGATGGCCTGTTCATCCAATTGTACACTTCAGGTCTTGCGATTCATTGAATGGAAGCAAAAAGCGTGGAGCTTATGGACTGAAGTGTGTGAGATTTCTGTTCAGGTCTTA